TTTTTTGTTAAGTATATAATTCCACATGTGTTAATTCATAGTTTTGATGCCTTCAGTGTGAATCTACAATTTTCATAGTCATGAAAATAAAGAAAACTCTTTGAATGAGAAGGTGTGTCCAAACTTTTGGTCTGTACTGTATATGACATATATATATATATATTTGTCATACATATATGTATGTATCTGTCATATACATAGTGTTTATATATTTCTAATTATATTTCAACAACATAATTTTCTTTTTTAATGTTTTAGTGAACTTTGACCTCACGGGTGACCCTTCGCTAAGCCCCACCCCTCCACCAGCAGCTGTCCAATCCTACGATAGCAACTGTTACTAGGAACGGGAGGCCTAATGAATGGTCAGAGCGATGGAAAAAGGTGAAACAGTATTGTTGTAGCAAACCTATTTGTCCATGCGTATGTAGAGTGGTCTGTCTGTATCTCAATCCGTTCGTCCAAAGTGAGATTGGTCAATGTGTAAAAGAAGTTGTCAATGCGAACCAGAATCTACAAAAGTCGTCTCACAATTTGTCTGTAATCAGTGTTTAAAAAAATCTGCTCATCTGTATTAAAATTCGGACATGTAATAAGAGTTGTCAATGCGTACAAAGAGTTGTCAGTGTGTACAGAGGTATACGTAATTGAAAAGTCTACGTATTCGAGTCAAGTAGCTTCCCCATTGGCTGTCTTTTCACACATGACTTTTGCTACACTTCTACTGTGAGAGAATCTGAAACTGAAAAGTATCTGAAAATCAGGGTTTCTGTGTCCTGAGCTCAGGCTCACAGGATCGTTCACTGTGGCTGCTCTGCTGCCCTGTACCTCAGAAGCTACTGAGCTAACTGGCTAACCATAAGTGCATTTTCTTATTGTAAATTAATATGTACAGCTGCCCCCAGTACAATGTCCTGGTTTCATGTGTAATCAAGTCAATGTGAAATGATTTCTGTGACATCACAGTAATTGTATTGCTTCTAAGTTGAACAATAGAGTTTGCTTGAATGTAAAATTTAACGCTAGCAGTTTGGATTTTTGCAGAGTTCAAAAGAAATAAAAAAAAACAGCTTAAGACAAGAAGAGAACAATGCATTTCCAACAGAATCCCTTTAATATTACAGCTCAGTCACATAACATTTATCAGACAGTAGAGCTTTATTTTCTGTCAAACCAGTTGCCAACACTTAATCAAATGATTTTTTTTCTTTCAAATCAGCTCACAGAAAGCATAAAAACATTGGTTCTCAATATCCAAAAATATAATCAACTGTGTTACAAACTTCAACTTTGACTTGTACAGTTTACAGCAACCTTCCATTTTAATGATGTAACATTAAATACAGTCACATTACCATCTTTGCCATAAAGATTTCCTCAAATACTAAAAAGCCAAACTCACAACAAAATGTCATTAATCACGAACCTTGAGCATGTAATTAGTGATTAGAAATATCAAAAGCGGTTTCTAAGTAATGGAAAGTTTTATAATGAACAAGAATAGAGGGAGCTATAGAGATCTTATTTTGGTCCAGATGTCTGTAAAGATCCGAACATGTCTGTAGACCTGCACACCTTGTGGTGCTTCTCCTTATTATCTAAAGAAATGTACCACTTTGTTAAAAAAGCCTTTCTGGTTCTTCTTCTCCTGTCTTTCCTCTGAAAGTTCCCCCTCTGTTTTTGTGAGTTTGTCTCGTTTGGCTACTTTGGAGATGAGTTTTGCTCTTTCCTTCACTGCCTCCAGAGACTGAATTCGAGCCTGGTAACCTTCTCGGACCTCAGATTTTTCTCCTTCGATCATCATGTCAATGTACTCTGGAGTGGTCAGGGGATTCGGCCTCAGGGCGATCTCCTGCAGACGAGTTATGCTTTGAGCCGACTGATCAATGAGGCCCAACATCACGTCTTGAAAGTGAACAATCTCCTCCTCTTGCCTCTCAATCAGTTCCTGTATAGTCATCTTTTCATTCGAAGCTTTCTCGTACTTGTGTTTCAACTCTTGCAGTGTCTGCTTCTCTTTGACTGTAACGTACTCCCACCTGTATGTCTGGTTAAAATGTACGCTCCAAATGCATTTTCCAGGGCAGACAGTGCACATCCCGGTCCGATCCATTGATGCACAGCCACGTTTCTCGTTGTCATTTGCAATTGCACATGGGTAGTGGCATGTTGTTGAACATTTCTGACAGTTGGTAATGTATGCTCCTTTCTCTGTGAGCTGTTTTTTGACTGGTTGAATAACATCCACCTCAATCACAAAGTTTTCATTTGAAGTCATGACTGTTTCGTGCTCCTTGATCTTTTCTTGGGTTGTCTTTATTTCTTGTAGTTTTGCCAGTCCAGCTCTGACTTGTGGCTGCAAACCTTCGATTGCTGTTTCAAGATGCTTTCGCTCATTTAAAACCTCTTGGGTCATGAGCAAACTCTTGGTTTTCATTTTACCCAAAGCAGTGAAGAACTTCTCCATACTTTTGGTCCCCATCTTCCAAAACATTTCATCAAAGCTGTTGTCCTCATCCGAGTCCTCACCACTGTCCCTGTTACATTTGTTGTCTGCAAACAGCGCTGAGTTGTTGAACTTGAAGTGAACTGGAAGCCCTAACTCATTTTTTGGGCATGGAATCCCGGAGACATTTATTGCCTCTAGAACTGGTGGCTGCTTGCCATCAGCAAAAGTCACCAGTATCTCGATGTTTTCTGCCACATCTTTGCCAAAAATAGAGAGCACTGAGTCAAACACATATATCTGTGTTGCTGTTAGTCGTGCAAGAGAAGCCTGAGTAACAAAACACACTGCATCAAGCTCACTGACTCCATTAGAGGAGGTGAAAAGCCTGCGGATTTGTTCTGTGATCTCCTTGTCTCTTGCTACTCCTCTTGTATCTCCAAACCCTGGCGTGTCCACAACAGTCAGAGAGAAGGGGGTTTTAAATCCCTCCTGGTGGTTGATTTCGTACACAGTGACTTCAGACGTCTGGCTGTGAGCTTGTGATTTTGATTGATCTTCATCAATTATCTTGAATCTGAAACTGTCGTTCCAGTCGACACCAACAACGTAGTTGAACATTCCATTGATTAGAGTCGACTTTCCTGACCCAGTTGCTCCAAGAAGCATTATCGTACGATTCTGCCTCATGCTCTTTTTGCCAAAGTTAAACTTCCTGCAGCCGTCTATGTCCACATCTTCTTCTTCTAGTCGCAGGTTGTAAACTGAAGGCAAGTTTGAGTTCATTTTTTTGCTGATGTGTTTCAGGTATTCGGCAAGACGTGCAAATTGGCGCTTCGTTGTAGAGACGTTAACAGTGATGCTTTCTTTGCTTTTTCCATCGACACCACAATCACATCTGACCCTGACTGCATATCCTGTCTCTGGCTGAAGCCCTGAAATGATCGCCTCTTCAGCGTTTGTCATCATTTGTTTCCACTGCAGATCTTCTTGTTTTGCCTGATTGTTTGTTTGTGCAAACTCCAAGATGTAGCTCAATATCTGGACGTCCTGTCCGAGCTCAGCAGGTTTCTGCCAGCAGACTGAAATCTCATATGAGTTTGCGTCAACGTGAGGTTTGTCAGGAGGGCTGCAAGGTAAGGTTTTAATGGACTCACTGACTACACTGGCCGGCCCGACACCTGCTGAGGTCACTGCTCTGCATCTGAACATGTACTCTGTGTTTGGCCTCAGGTCGCCCACTGTGACTTCTCCAGCGCTCTGCGCTGCCTTTTGTTTCCATTGCTCCTCTCCACTGACACAGAACTCCACAGAGTAGGAGGTGATGTTCTCTGCTCCACATTTGGGGGGAGAAAACTTCAGATTCACACTGTTGTGGTTTATGTCTCCTGCTGTCACAGTTTCAGGCTTTGAAGGAGGCTCAAAGTTCTCAGTGACAGAGAAACCGTCTTTATAAAGGTAGATGCTTGAACCTTTCTGGGTCTCATTTGTTAAACCCACCGTCAGGAACTTTGTGTTCTTGTTCTCCATGTTGGCTTCTGCAAAATCACTGAAGAGTTTTGCTTTTTTTCTCATGTCATCTGCTGTGTCTTTGGAAAGGTACCATTGTTCCTTTTCTACATTGTGAGTGCGTGGATCCTGAAGCTCTTCTGGTTTGGTTGTTCCTTTTAAGTAGTTTGATAAAGCTGAGAGGTACGATTCATCACTTCCCAGTGAGGTGAAGACAAAACACACAGCATGTTCTGCACTGAAAAGTT